CACACACACACACACACACACACACACACACACACACACACACACACACACACACACACACACACACACACACACAGCCATGCAGTAAAATCTGAATTCGGGCTGTAATCTCACCTCCAATTGGCTGATATGAACAACAATTCCAAATGTTTCTTCCACAGCATCACATTACAACATTTACTCAAGTACCTGTTAGATTCACTAAACACTCAAGTAAAGAACTCGGGTAAATCATTTTTCCTGACCTCTATGATTTGACTGAATCTTGCACTTGAATTATATATTTTTATTAAGAACTGATGCCATATTCACATGTTTCTTTTAACTTGTAATGAGGAAAAGCTGGTCCTAGAAGCCATCAGAGATTTCAGCTAATGTTTTGTCCTTCACCGAACTCAAGCCAACGTTAGCAGACGGTGTTAGATTCTCCAAACACATCGGTGAGTCCTCATCCCAGAAGTCTTTCTTCCAGTAGCATTCCAACTAAAACATCAACAGCTTGTAAATACAAACAAGCATTTAATCTAAGCAGCCAGACCTGGGGCCTGTTCAAAGTCATGACAATAACGTAAAGAAGTTAATCTGAACTAAAAACTGTGATAACTGCCCAGACAAGACATACAAACACACACACATCTTGACAAATGATGTAAAAGAAGAAACAATGTAATTTTCCATAGATTCTGATTTATATAAATACTTAATACTGTACAAATACATGGCATCGTTTGTCTCTGCAAAAATCCCTATGCCATCCTGGACTTTACATGTCCAGACTCCTGAGCGCTCTCTGGAGGAAGACCAGCACACAACCAACAGAAGAGAACAAGACAGCAGCCGTCTCTGAATTCAGGGGCCGCATCCTTCGAAGGACGTTGTAGGCCACGAGAGCCAAACCAAAATGACACGATCTGGCTTATGGAGAATTTCCTATTTACCAACTGTTCCCGCCTTTACCGTTGCGTTAGAAATGCTGCTCCTGTTGCTGAGCAACCTTAACAACTGCTCTGCTCTCTGCCAATGTGTAAAGCATCTTGGTCTAGGGTGGGCTGCGAAGGATCCACCAGCTGAAGCCGTCACTGCCTAGTGAAGGGAGGACACATTTCTTGGCCACATTTGAAGGAATCTTCGAAATGGGACAGCCTTGTTGCGACGTAGTGACGTAGTCTTCAAACGCAGCCCTTGAAGTCTGCGGCCCCTGAACCGTCAGCAGCCGAAACCTGACCGTAACTCAGAACCAGAATTTAGAAGGACACATTTATATTTAAAAACTCAAACATACACAACCTGCCCAGCAGCTGAAACCCACTGCAGCTCAGAGTGGAATGAGAACAAGATCCCTCACTGGCTTCCCATCACAAAAGATCTATAAGAAAACAAATGTAAAGGCCTATTTAACCCTTTTCAAATGTAACCTCAGATGTGGAGGTTGGAGCCCAGAGGTCAAAGTTAACAAAGAAGGTACAGCTGTCTTTTGTAAATTAAAAAAAATAAAAATCTGAAATTTTGTGATGCTATAAATCAAGCCAGCTGGGTCACACTGTATTAGTAGTACATGTGACTCTATCCATCTTCCACTTCCTTAATTGAGGACATAATGACATTTAAAGACATTTTCAATCTTGGTATGTCAGAAATACTTGGCCTGTGTTTCAGCAATAATTTACTGGCTGTTTATCTCTAAAAGTAGATCACAGACATTTTATTTATCAGACTAGAAATTAAAATTAATTTAACATTCAGGTTAACAGTTCAGTCCAGTCAGGTTTGGCTCAGTTTACCTTAAAGAAATGGGGAGCCGTCTTCTCATTTCTGACTTTTGATCTCAAAATGACAGAATCCAAGTCTTGACAGTTTCCTCCTCAGTATGAGAAATAAATCCTTGTCATTATTAGATATTAAATCATATTAAATCATTATGAGGTACACAAGTCATTATTACAAAATAAAGTCTCATTTTTTTCCACTGGTGAAGAGGCACATACAGTAAAAAGTCAAAAATACAATACTTTGTCAGTTTCAAAGCTCGCGCTCTTCATTTTAATCGTACCAATGGTGAATGAACACAGTGATACTTTGGAGGTTAGTAGTCATACATTTGTCTAATAACTGTGTTTTGCTGACTGATTTTACATTTGACTTTTTTCTCTAACATGGACAAGAAGCAACAAGAAATCCTCCAACATTACAGTATGATACATGTTTGGCAGATGTATTTGAGATCCGGTGACGCACGCTTCACTGGCAGCGGCCCTCGACCATTTCTGCTCCATTTGCACAAGCCCAGAGTAAAAAAAGATTTTAAGTCTGTCTTCACACCGAGCTAGCAGCTACCAAAAACACCAAAAGATCAGATAAAACAGCTCAGGTTTGGCCACGCACGTGTTTTAGTTCAGCTCGGTTCGGCTCAGCGAGAAATCCATGTAACAGCCTTTCTCCATCCACCAGGTTTGAGGTCAGACACCAAACAAGTTTCTGTTTACAGTGAGAAAATGCCACCAGCCTGTCACATGTCACTGCACTGAGCACTCCGACATGTAGGAAGCCTTCAGGAGGCTTTAGTCCGCTCTGCTACTGTAACTGGCTCAGAATACCCCCGTTTGAGATGTACCTGAAAAAAGGAAATGTAGTTCCCCATGGACAGTCAACTCCAGATTGGTTGTGTTCTGCTTCTTCTGTTCAATAAAGCCGTTTGTACCGGTCAAGTGGCGGGTTCACCAACGAGTATTCCAGTGACAGACCCATCAGTGCCATCCACTGAAAAACAAATTAGCCTCACGACCTGCACTCACCCAAAAAGGTCCATGTAGTACAGCTAAATAAAAAACATGAAAGCCTCCCAGGGAACAGACAGGACTCACACGACCCCCGTCCTCTACGCCAGAAGACACCAAGGTGTCTGGTTCTGGTCACACTCCAGTTTGGTGTTGATGACGGTGCAGGGAGCGCCACTGATGGTCAGCTCCTGTCGGGACTCCACCAGGTAACGAAGGTTCGACAGCCCCCCCTCCGGATCCACCTTAAACTGCTCCTACAGGGAGGAGGGACGAAGGGGGAGGAACAGGGGGAGGAAGTATCCATTTTAAACATGTTTATTGCAGCATGGTCACTCGAGGTTGTGACCCACTGCTTCTTTGTCTTGCCCCACTGAAGGTTTTGCCATCATGTTTAAATTATTACTTTCCAGAAACATTTCACCTTTTTCCCCAGGAAAACTGGGATTTTCCACAAGTGGACTGCACATAACTTATTCCAAAAAAGTATTTATATTAAAAACACCCACTTCCTAAATAAAAATACCTATTCACACATACAAGGTGCAAGGCAACCTCTGGATTGGTAAAGACAAGAATCGAACTCTCACCGAGTTGGTTTCCTTTATTTAAAATCACACTGAAAGATGTTTGGCTTTTTCTTTTAAATTTTTAGAGATCACAAATAAATGGCCAGTGTCACACCCGCAGGGAAGATTAAATAATGACCTCGGTTAAATGTTTTATAATTGTGGAATATTTTGAACGTCACTGCACCTACCTTTAGGTTCCCCGTGACTTTTGTCAGTTTTATGTTTTTACTATGACTTATAAAAGCTTATAAAAGATTATTTGGGGGCAGCATCGTGTCTGCTCTGGAGTGCATTTCCTCCTCATGTCTGTATTCTTCATGTTTCTGGAACCTACTCTGTCATAGGTGAACGTTCGTACCTGTTTCTGAGCTGCGACCCTTTTCTGGTCCCTCTTCCTCCAGGCTGGGTCGTGGATGTGGAGGAAGGTTTTATATCCTGTAGTGATGCCACTTGGTCTGAACAGCTGCAGAGAAATTAACCTGTCAAATATTACTCTAACTGATAAAGCAGTAAAAATTAGCCCACGTGGCCAGTTTAAACCCCTGACTGATGACTCATTAAGCCTTTATATACCTATAGTTCAAGTTGAGGATTTATTTGATAGAAAATTACAAATAGTTAATATCCAATCTAGCACCAGCCTTTAATGACACAAAAACAACTTCTGATTTGTCTCTTTGGCTGTTGATGAAACTAATGTGGTCCTCTGGTGACGTGTTCTACACACAGTCAAACAGAAAACAGCAGGCCGCCCTTTTTCTAACGAAACAGCTTCAGAGAAGTCAGTATCTTAGTGAGGGTGATGTCAGGTATGGCTGTAGCATGAATGGCTCCCACTCTGGAGACGTTTACCTGTAGTTCAGCTTTTCTCAGTCTTCTGTAGAACTCATCATCCTCCCTGCCCCAGCCCCAGAACCGGTTTGACATTCCATTACACTGCAAAACAAAAAACACAGAAGTGATCCATTTGTTCCGGTTTCAGGAATAAGCTTTCTTTCAGCCTTAACTGCGAGCCACCCTGCAGTCAGTACCCATCCTGCACTACAGTGTTTAAGCTGCAGCCTACAGCAAAAGCCTACCCAGGTTAAACAGCCCCCCCATCTAGTGGACACTTTGACTTATTACATGTATCTGTATCTAGAAACGATTTTCCACTGCAGGAGGATGTTAACAGCGTGTCACCTACAGATTCCCATAACCTGAAGCTTACAAAAGCTCTTTGTGTTTCTGTGTCTGGTTTCATGGCTGGGCTGGTGAAATAAGCAGCCAGGCCACAGAAAAGACAGAAATCGTGCCAATATTAAGTAATTTTATATGTAAGTGACTGTGACTGTACAACTTTAAACAGCAGAGTGGCACAAGTTGCTTTGAGGCTCAAAATCATGTCAGCTCAGTTTATTTCACCGCCATAATCCACTCAGCATGAACACTGAGTCTTGTGTACACTTATTAAAAATAAACAACTGAAACATACCAAGCAGCCACGACAGAGAGCACGGCCTGCCAAGCTAGCCTACAGTTTACAGCCTGGGTGCAGACATTTCCAGATGTGGATCCTACCCACTGAAATACTTTTTGGCTGATCTTCTGCACTGCAGAATTGCGATTGCAACCTTCTTCTTTTTTCCGGCACCACTTGCTTGTGTGTCACATCCACATTTCTGCCAGATGTTATCCTGCCTTTGTTATGTTGTCAGCTTGCTCGACCGATCCAGTATAATCAATTAGAGGTAAAAGACTGAGCAGACATACAGCTAACTTCTAAACCCCCACAGACCCTTTAGAAACCAATAAACCCAGTGTGAAGCAGAGCAGTACCATGTGGTAGTGTTTCTTGGTGAGCAGGAGGATTCCTCCTACATAGGTCTTGTAGTGGTAGAGTGGGTGCAGGTCAGGTGAGGCCACGTGGAAAGGCCCCTCCTCAGGGAAACCGTAGTCCAGAGCCTCATTCAGGGGCAGTAGGTCCACATCGTGCATCGCCAGGTAGTCAGTGTCGTTACCGCTCTCCAGGTAACCCACGTTAATAAGAGACGCTCGATTAAACCTGAAACGACAGGAGATGAAAAACACTACAACCGCTGCAGCCTGGATGTCTCTCAGGAGCTACTGAATATTCAATACTATGATGAAGAGGAGTTGAACAGCCGCAGCCACTCCAGACTTTACAGGTTTATTCTGGATTTCCCTGCACTGCAGTCAACCCAGACATGTGAATCTAACCCTTGTGACAAAAATCTTCAATATTATGTAAAATGTACTGAAAACAATAAGCATCCTGGTATCTAGGGAGGAGAAAACAAAGAGGAGATGCCCTCACCTGTAGTGATCCACCTGGTTGACAATAAGGATCTTGTGGCGGATCTTCTTCTTGTTGAGGAATGTGTGCATAAAGGGAACAAACACCAACAGCTCCTCAAAGCGCTCTCTGAAGGGGACGATGAGGGCCAGTTTGTGAAGACCCCAAGAGGGGTCGTCCGCTGCAGACGCCCGGCTATCGGCCGGGCAAGGGCGGCTGCGGCTGCGAGAAATGTCCATCTTCGTACACTGATGAAGACATTTCGCCTGAACAGCTGAGCTGCAGCCAGAGCAGAGAGACAAGCACCAGCACCATGCACAGGCCGAACAGCTTGTACACTGTGCATTTACCAGACAGGAACCTGAAAACACACAGCAGACAGAGACTTCAGCACAGTGGAAATCTTCAGCAAAAACAATGCAACAAAACCCAGAAACAACCATTAAAACCCTGAGAATTTTAAAAAGTGGCATCTCTGAAAATGTAAACTCTCCTGAAGCAGTTTCACGGTTTTATGTCTCTGGTTCACAGCAGAGGTTTTATTAGAAAACAGATTCTGACATGCAAAACAGTCGCTGGAACTCTTGTCAGTCTCAGCAGACATGCGCCGCTGTACATTGTTAAATAAAAGGCATTGTGAAAGATCTAAGTAACCTGTATTTTCCAGGCTAAAAGCTGTCACTGTAACATGAGGATGGATCCATAAATGTTAGTTTCAGCAGCTGTACTGCTACAGGCTGCCATACATCCAAACATCTGCACCTTCATTCACTCTTTTACTCCAAATATTTCCTCTTTCATTTTATTTATTTATTTTTACATTTTCATGCATTACATTTTTCAAATTTGTTTTTCAGAATACTTTGAGTGTTGAAATGATCAATCAATTAGCTATAAATTCAAATATAAATTCAGCAGTGACATGTGAGGCACAAAGCAGCAGTAAAACCTGCTGTGATTCAAGGGTAGAAGCTTCCAGTTGTTCATGCAACACAGTCAGTAAAACAAAGCAGTCAACAAACTGAACACTAAGCAGTCGGCACAGGTTCCCAAACTGTTTTACAACTACACAACCTCAAACTTCAGTGCAGACCTGAGGCACAAGATCTGCACCGGGTCCAGGTCAGAACCTCAGGTCGTTCTCGGCACCAAGTGAAATGCATCTGCAGTACCATGGCACCAGGTTTAGACCCCATTTCATTAAAGCCAAGTTGTTGTAGGTCACTTCATAACTTTGGTTTGTAGGGTACCATGACACAGATGTTGTGTCCTCACTATTACTGATCACTCTTCTTTAATTGATGCTGTCAATTAGTGCTATACAAATAAACTGAATATACTACACCCCGCCTGACTAAAGCTCACCCTTTACTTCTTGGTGACTGCCTTTAGTTTTTAGAGGATCACTGACTGTTGAGAGACTGAAACGGCGTCATTGAAAATATCTTCAAATGAAGTCTCGCTGCCTTGGTTGGACAGTGATCCACAGGGGACAGTACTGAATGTTAACACACAGCACGTGAATAAACAGTGTGGATTTTCTACAATATAGAGACATTTCCCAATTCTTAAAATTACATCTACTCATCCCCCTCTAGAAACACACAAATATTTCATAAATGTAACTTCTTTAGAAAGGTTGATATCTCCGTTTAAAAAAAATGAGGGCACCCCAGCGTGTACTGACTGACTCACTACTTATTAGTGCAAGGACCCACGGATGACCCTGGACCACAGTTTGGGAACTACTGGTCGAAACAAGGCTGCTACTCACGTCTGCTCCTGTGCTCTAGGGGTCTCCTTTCTTTAAAGTGTGACATTGAACACATTGCTTTCATGACAAAGCCTTAACATTGTGCACTGTGGTGTAGCAGCTGTGCCCAACGTTATTATAAAATACTGTTTCTGCAGGATTCACCCATTTTTAAACATTTTCAGGGCCTTTTTAATACCACTCTGAATGTAATTTAATATCTTGGTCACAGTCAAACCGGTCAAACAATGAGCAAAACATTTAAAGGCAGACAACAATTAATTTATCGTCACCACCCATTAGGGGGGCCCTGGGCCAGAGACCCTGTATGAAGTGACCTTTACTTTTTCTTAGTTGAAAGGTCACAAAACAAGCACAGACACACAAAATGACCACAAACGGACACAAAATGAGCACAACTGTTTGGATCCCCAGTAGCTTACCGACTTGCTCACCGATTATAACCCAGCTCGACCTCTCAGGTCATGTGCTAGTCATCTCTGTGCCAGGAGCAGGCTCAAGGTCCCCAGGGGGGCCTTTAGTTACTTAGGTTCCACTCTCTGGATTTAATTGCCAGATCTGCAATCAGTTACCACTATCTCCACTTTTAAAATGAAGCTTAGGGGAAAAGCTCTTATTATTATAAAAACTATTATTCTCTGGTGCTTATGAATAATTCTGTTTTGAAAAACCTTTTCTTGTGTAAAGGGTGTATTAACCCACTGGAAGAAAGGCAATTGTGTGTGCTTTTTTTTTTTTTTTTTT